AACTGAGAAAAGACGGCTCCGTGGCCCAGTGGCTTAGTGACGAGTTGCAGCGCTGAGGGCCGCGGGTTCGAATCCAGCACGGAACAAGTATTTGTATGACCTACAAGTAATTGTTCCGGGTCTGGATGTTTGTCCTTGTGAAATTTATGTTTGTAAACTGCCAACACGATACAGGAGAAAATCCAAGTGTGGAGGTAACGTTTTTAATTAAAAAAATGATTGCAATTTCATGTGCGGAAATGAAACCCCGGGAACTTGAATTTAAGAAATAAAGCATTCCCTGGATATATTTTATCATGTACTAAAAACATCGCAAGGAAACCACCACGCTAAGACTTTCTTTTAAGATATATGAAGTCTGCCAACGTTAGGATTGCGCAGCAGATTTCCTCTGCTCAGGCAGAATACCTCTTCAGGAATGGGAGAAGGTCTGTGCCTACCTATAGGACGTACTCGTAATCACATAGAAATATTTCGGGGATAGAAACAGAATGCGTCATGAAAAAAATTGCCCTTGTGTTTTTCATCATCCAGGGAAAAAACAGTAGAATACGTTTAATAAGATATTATTAGTTACTTTGCAACCATCCGCTGAATAAAATCAAACGATATATCTTACCTAGTTTGAAGAGCACCTTCCGCCCTCCCTCAATTGCGTGCACTAATCCCGTCATCACTAATCCCAGCACCACTACTCTAAATACCACTACTCCCAACACCATTACTCCCAACACCACTACTCCCAACACCACTACTCCCAACACTACTACTCCCACACCACTACTCCCAACACCACTACTCCCAACACCACTACTCCCAACACCACTACTCCCAACACCACTACTCCCAACACCACTATTCCAGGAAAGACACACCATTGACGATAATACGACACCTGTTTCGCCTCTACACGAGGCATCTTCGGGTGATATAGACTCTACGGCAGCTGACAGCTAAGATATAAATAAAAAGATATAATACGTTTGTATGGACTAAACACATAACGTGTATCCTTTTAACAAATTTCATTTTTGCCGACGAGAATCAAACCCAGATTGCCTGCGTGCTGTGAAAATTTGTGTACGTAGATATAAATTGCTCAGTAAACGCCTCCTCTCATTTCTGAAAGCATTTTAAAGTGCATTGCCGTATGTAATTGCACTTATATATTACGTAAAAAATCAGCATTTAAAATTTCATTAGTGCCGGCGGGGATCGATCCCGGGTTGCTTTTGTAGCATGAAATTCACAGCGAGCGCTTAGTTCGTAAGCTACCACTGCTAAAATTATGTAACGTGGTATTAAAATTAATTAAATTATCTAAACATCCCTTAGTAAAGTTCCCATGTATACGAACGGTACATACGTTATGTTATTAGCTGTAAGTGCTCTCGATTTTAAAGCCAATTTGTGAGCGAAATGGGGCAATCGATAACCACACAGGCTAACCAGCTTAGCGTGTCTCATTTCACCACGCTTAAGTACTGTGATTGTGGAGTAATATGCACGTACCACGGTGTAGAATAACAGAGGTTTTGCAATATTATTGCCACCTTAGCTAATATCTGAATTTTGACGGACATTTTATTGGGTTACGAACTAGCAAACCATACGGTGATAATTCACCAGACAATACAACACTCTTTGATATATATTTTTAAGTATAAAATTCATTTTTTACGTTACAATAAAATATATATAACATTTAAAAATTGTCATATAATATAACTCCCCGCAGTATAGTGCTGAGAATACTGGCTATTTTACCTCTCTTAATGGCTATACTGGCTATACTTAGCCTTTGAGCGAGAAAAGAACCAGTCCACCTGATGATAAGTGGATCACCACCAGCGACGACCAGTCGTGGTTACAGTTCATTCAATTTTAGTTTAATAAGTTAAAAATTAAGTAAAAGTTATACTTATCTATAATTATCATAATTATCATCATTACAGCACCTTCACAAATCTACTGCTGAACGTAGCTCCTACTCTTAAGGAGCGATCATAATCCTATATCACCTGCATTCAACGATTTCCTGTATATCTTACCAGGTCGCTACATAATTCTAGTAGTGTGTCCCATAATGATTTGTAATTTCAATTTAATGTTATTTCTTACCAACTTAAGGATTATTGTTATAGTTATCAAATACATCGACAGGATCTATAAACTAGAAGAACTAATTTGACAACGTGGTCTATTGCTTACAAATTCTGTGCGCACACAAGCAAGCATTCGTTAACTGGCGACCCGTCTCGGCTTCATCTGTGTCTTTTAATGTCATTTATTTCATAATGTAGATTTAAGATAACAACTATATATGAATATTTCTATTTCACATCAAAACATTTCCCAATTTTTTCGGCCTAGATCATTCCCGGCATTACTCTCTCTGTTCGTTAAGTTTCATTACAATTTGTTTCAGTGATTCCGTTCAGATTAGCCCGGACAGACAAACTAACATATATTTATAAAAATTAAAGTTTTGCTGAACAAAATATATTATTTTAATAATTCAACAATTCTCAGAAAGATAAATTAAAGTAAAATTGAAAACCTATTATTATTATGGTTCGTATTCAATTGGACAAATTGCCTTCAGGGGATGTGAAATTACGTGCAAATCATTATCCATTACTCGTTAACGATGAAATCGAATAGTCGCGATTCACAATGAACGGCTCAATAATTTTCATTTTCAAAACACTTTATTTTATAGAATAAGTCGTAAGTATGAAATTAAGAAGGTTCATTAAAATAACATAATTAAATTAAAAAAAAAGACCAATTGCCATTTTTAATTTTAATTTTATAATGTTTATATAAAACTATTATAAAAAAAGCTCTCTTGTTTTTTTCGCGCTTTTGGTACGATTAAACATATTTTGTGTGTGTGTGTGTGTGTGTGTGTGTGTGTGTGTGTGTGTGTGTGTGTGTGTGTGTGTGTGTGTGTGTGTGTGTGTGTGTGTGTGTGTGTGTGTGTGTGTGTGTGTGTGTGTGTGTGTGTGTGTGTGTGTGTGTGTGTGTGTGTGTGTGTGTGTGTGTGTGTGTGTGTGTGTGTGTTAATTTTATCTTTTAACATAATATCTCGTTAACAGATTCAGATATCGTCGTCGAACTGGTTTTATTCGATGCATAATTATGTAATTAGAACATTTTTTGGTTTTTATCATAATGGTTGTGTACAACAGCTTTTTTTTTAAATTATATAAAATTGATAGTTAACCGTGTTTTAAAAATAATGAAATACGATATTCACTCTTCTATTTGGTTCTTAATATATTGAGCATTTTTATTAGAATGTAAAAGTTAAACGGTATTCCTTTTGTTTTATTTCGTATTCCAGGTTTCCTATTTTGTCAAAAAGTAGAGTGAAAAGTAGTCTTAGTTTTTTTTTACAGAATAAGAGTGAGCAAATCGAGCAAACGAGTACACAGTCCACCTCAAGTTATGTGGATGCTGTGGTCCATTCTACATTTATCATCGATTAAAAACTAAAATGCTTAAACGTTGTCATCTCTGCCCGAGTACTTAGAAGGAATGCCTCGTTTCCAGTATAATAAGGGTCTCAGGTTCTCTACAATTTCCATACAAAATACAAAAAAAAAATATTAAGCTTTTATTCTGTGAGAGAGTGTTCCCACCTCAGTCGAGCCGATCTATTCGTACCACCGTGGCTTTACTACGTAAAAAGTGTAACGTGGAACGCTCGAATCGCACACGTTTTTTTTAAATTACTTTGTACGATTAGTCATATCACGCTGGGAATTTTAATATCTCACTGTATGTGAGAATTAATACTCAAAAAACTGTGTACGTAGTAGAGCCACGTTGCAGCTATATTAAGGTTGTAGTATGAATGGGTCGGCTCGACCGGCGAAGGACCACGCTCTCAGAGAATATCAGCAATAAATAGCAGCTTAATACTACTTCGTTTTGTATGGTTAGTGCAGAGAACCGGAGACTCGTTTTACTGGATTTGAGGCATTTTGATTCTTAACCGAGGTTAAATGTAGATATCTATGGGCCACAACAGCCAGCTCTATCCTATAAAAAAACAATCGATTCTAAAAATTCGTAGTTTTACTTTTAAAATATACCGACTTTTTTTAAACGACTGATGTTACAAACGAATTTACATTCCAAACGAATACAACGGTGGATATTGATATGTGTTATCACCCCTGAGGACTAAGATGGAATGCCTCACAGCCAGCAATTATATTGGCTCTATATCAACTTCAGACCGCAATTTCAATTCAAGCAGTGCTATTTGGAGACAGTAGTAGAAAAGAGAGTGGTCATGATGGACTCCTAAGCATGAAATGGAGGACCCCTTCACCTCATTAAAAGTATTAAACAGGATTTGTAGTCGAAAACCTCTCTAAACCTAGTGTTTACGTAGTGTATATCACTATTTTTTGTTAATACTACATATGTTTTTGTAAACGTCAAATTTTTGTTAGTACTGAGGTATATATATATATATATATATATATATATATATATATATATATATATATATATATATATAATGCTATAAAAATGCAATACCTCCGAACTCAGTCGGCTTGACTACGTAAAGATATTGGAGTGATATAGCATAAGTGTAATTGTCGTGTAGTGACAATGTAAAAGAGTTTACTGATAAGAAACTGTGGATACCTACCCGTCTGACAAGCATGAAAACTAAGGCAAATATCCCTTCCCCCTTAATGTAATCTATGTGGGGGGTATATGTTCAGCAGTGAATTTTTAGGCCGTAATGGATGCACAGTTTATGTACGTACAAAATAGAGACGCTTAGTCATTCTATTCTAACCGTTTTCACGATCTAAGGTCATCAGGCAGGAAGGAACCCTTTCAACGTTTCGACGTAGTTATCAGTTACTACGTCGAAACGTTCAAATGCTACCGCATATAGTCAAATGAATTGGCCAGAGAATTTCTTAACTCTTATTGATATCATAATACATTTCATAATTTCTTTGTTTCAGTCATGGCCGTATTTTTTAATATTCATGATTTTAGAGCACATAGTTCTGAGATTAAAAGGACGTACAGGTATTCGCCTGAACGATGGTATCACTGGTATATCCCATGGCATATTTCAAGAATGCGGCAGGTAAATATTGGTTAAAAAAATTTGTTACACTTTCTTTATAGATTTTTATTATTTTTGCAAGGTATGGTAATTTTTTTATAATAAATTTTAAACGTGCTGCAATTTAAACATTACAGATTAGCATGGCGCGGAGCAGAATCTTATTTGTACACCTGGATATATACAAACTACAGAATATTCGAACTACCCTGGGACAACACATTAACGTGGTACGCAGCTGCCATAGGTGTAGACTTCTGCTACTACTGGATGCATCGCGCTTGCCACGGTATGTACTGTTTTAATTACTACGTATATAGATATGAAAACCTTCGTTAAATAAACTTTTTTATTGAAAGCAAATCGAAGCTGTAAAACCCACCATAGCATTTTAAAAGCGTTTTTATATCCTAAAAATAATTTTCCGGATTTAAATATTTGTCTAGATTTTTGTATAATTACGCGATGGAGATAAAGCCTTACTGTAGTGTTCGTAACGTATTTTATTAGAAAAAATATAATAAATTTATTTCTGTTGTAATAGGAAAACTTAAACTTAAACTTAAATATAATTATGTAATTATATACATAAATTATTTAATTAATGAAAACATTGATAGTAAATGATTTGCTAATTTTGAAAATTATCTCATTCCAAGCATAAATTATAATTGCCTTATAAATTAATTATTTTACTAAATTATGTGTATTTATAGAGGTCCATATTCTATGGGCACAGCATCAAGTACACCACACATCGGAAGACTTTAATATGGGCGTGGGCATTAGACAATCAGTTGCGCAAGGATGGTTTGGATTTGTAAGTATAAGAAATACTTATTAAATTTATTTATTTATAATGTATTCGTTGTACGTGTGTGGTTGGTAAATATTTTTGTAACTTGACGTATTATATGGGACCTTTTTTTATAAATCTCGAAGAAAATTATATTCCAAGCCAAAAAAGAGGAAGAACGATACGAAAAAACTTCGTTATAAAAAAGTGTATTCAAACAAAACGTATTTGACATTCACATAAAAATAAGAAAGAAAGAAATAAATGTTAATTTGATGTAGTGTAAAAACTATATCTAATCAACATTTACTATTTGTTAAAAGAATTGTATAGTTTAGGATATGATTCGTGATTAAATTCGGAAAAAAATATGATAGAAATATACATATAAAAATTAATTGTTATCGCTGGGATAATTAAGCACTTAAAGTGGTCGGTAGTAAAATGTTATTTGTGAGCGCAGATCCTCTTGTTTTTGCGAAGCTTTATTAAGCTGATATGTATAATAATTACCAAATCACCACAGTGCTCTTTGGAGATTTTCAAATTATCTCAATTTTTTTTTATTAGACACAATTTTATTCATACACTGGATATAAATTATTACTAATAGTAGCAAATAATAACCAAGCTAGCGGAAGGCTGGCTGACTGACGCTTTTTTACACGCTACATTACTACACGTTCATATTAAGCTTGAACTCTGTCAGGTAGCTTTATGTTTAAATATTGACCCAATTAGCCTTCGATATTTTGACTACCAGGCAAGGCATGAATATGGTAGGAAGAAGTACTAGGCCCTACATACCCTAACTAGGTTCCCTATGCCTAGCAGGACCTAATACCTTAGGCTTACCATATAAATACACGTACATAAATTAGATAGATACGGGATGTCTGCACCATGAGACCTAAGGTAACAGACGACAGAAACAGGATGTCAGGGTTAGGTGATGGGGTTCTGACGGCTAAAGGTGTCTTGTTCGCAGTGAGTGGGAGGTCTTACCAGGAGTGTCGGTGGTAATAACGAAGACGTCGTTCAAAGTTGAAAGAGGATATTATAAACCAATCATTACAAATGATATGTTTGCATTGATGTTACTATTTGCGTCATTTCTGAGATTATTCAACAAAAAATTAGCTTACGTGATTTTTGGTAACGCGGTTACAGTGTCGCTGCGGTGCAATGTTCAGAACTGAACACCGTGTATATGTTCTTCGTATTTGGATTTTCACCCACCTACAGTCGTCTGAATAAACTGAAATTTAGCAGACGTATTCAGAACCTACGACGAACAAAATAATATCATTATGATTACCTAGTATTTGCACTGAGATTCTCATAAATCATAATCGTTCTGTATTATTTAAGTTTTATCCAACCTTATTGTTATTGATTTCTCTTTTTTCATCAAATGAAACTAATTTCGTCGGGAATTAAAAATTTAAAACTAAATACGATAAAATCCGTAAAATAAAATGCGTCTAAAACTATTATTGTTACATTACATGAGCCCTTGCTTGCATTACATTACAATTTTCTTTCATCAGATTTTCTACTTGCCGCTTGCATTGGCAATTCCGCCAGCCCAGTTCGTGATGCACCATCAATTCAGCTATCTCTACATGTTCTGGATACATACGGAGGCGATCAAAAGTCTTGGACCTTTGGAATACATTCTCAATACACCTAGTCATCACAGAGTACACCATGGTAAGTTTCTTTTGAAACACATAATGTAACGTTTTGATAAGTTTCTTGAAACTAACCGCACTTTGACAGAAATTTCAATTATGTTTACTATTCTCATGCAGCTATAAGTGGTAAGTGGGTCACTTTAAAGTGTTATTTTTTCTTACAAATTGCCAAGCTCCCTTTCATCCGTGCACGTTACTGACAGATGATGACCTAACCGATTAATGATGAAATATCCAATATACCCGTAAGTCCTTTGCGGAGTACCTAACGAGGGGAAAGCTCATGCCTTAATCATCAATATTGGCAGATGAATTAACAAGCGATACCAGACGTCTCTCACCTTTGATGCTGCATCCCGTCTACTGGCCGTCGCGGGTCTGAGTATTAAACGTATGGCGTAAAGAAAATGGCTGTACCGTCATATATCGAAAGCCATAAGATTTTTATGGCATTTCAAATATCCTTTTATAACATTTACGGAACGAAATGTGGCGATAGATCTCTTATGCCACCACTGACGGATTGAAATCGTGATGGTGAGATGAGGACCAATATCACCAATGCGACAGTATTTGCTCGGTATTGGCAAATCATCAAAGAAATGCACGTAATTCTTGTAAAAGACGCTAAGAATTTGCTTAATACAAGTCCAAAAAGGAGAATACAAAGCGAATTAGCACATTTTACTGCTAAGCTCGTTGTATATAGTTGGTATATTAAATATAACCTAGCATATAAACCGAATATTCACTACACGATATGGTCTGTTGGGTGCCGTAAGAGGCCACAGAGGAAAACAAAGCAGGAGATAAGCAGTATCGTCTTTCTAATAAATAACAACTAAAAATAAAAAAACAGCCTCCAAAAAGTGGCAACTACGGTAAATCCCCCGATGAGGCAGTCTATGAGGAGGCGTATGTTGAGCAGTGGTCTTTTAATAATTTTGCTGTGACGGTGACAGCAGCATGTAAAAATAAAATACAACTAGTAGTAAAGACACCGTGAACGTGCCGTAAAACGATTGCAACAGAAAATTCTTTTTAAGCACGAGGTCTCGCGTTGATTGATTTACGAAATCGTATCGAATTTAATTACTTTGATTATTATAATGATCAAATTTAAAAGAGTTGCGAAAGTTTTACTTCTATTTTATAATCGAACAAGTAGCAATCGAACTACATTATGAAATAAAACTGATAAGCCAACGGGCTGAAATTTAAAAATTTACTCACCATGTTTAATTTCTCATACTCGCTTTAAGAAGGAAAAATCAAACTTCTAAAATGTGAAATCATGTTATTTTTATTTAGTTCTTTAAAGTTGACTTTCTATTAAAATTATATTTTTTACCCCTTTGAGTGTACTATTTAATCCTGTGCTGTATAATCGATTTAATTATAAAGAATAATTAAAATTGGTTCGTACTTGATGCGGGTAAACATAGTCAAATTAAGATCCTCTTTTTCAAGGTGGTTAATAAAAGGATTACGAAGATGCAAATTGTAATATCTCACATTTTGAATATGGACAAATAAATTCACAAACTACGAGAGAATTAGTCAAAATGTTTATTTTGACATATTCTCTCGTATTTTTAAAGTTAAATTAATTACCAATGTATGGGTACATTGGTAATTAGTTATGCGTTCATTTATTATTTAAATTATTGCGTATAGATACATACGAGTATATAAATTTGCCATGTAGCTTTAAGCGTAGTAGAATCCGTAGTTCCATATCGTTTCCAGGGAGTTGTGTGTGAAAAGAAACAGAAGATTGGTAGACTGCGGTTGCCAACCTACCTGCTACACGTAGCATCGTACTTTTGATAGCAACACCATTAATAAAGATATTAAAATTTAATTCGGAACTTTCCGCTTAATTAATCAATCTCTCTCAATCTATCAATCATTAATTATCTAGCAACACCATTGTTCCTGTCACTAACATATTGCATTTCTTTTACAGGAAGCAACAAGTACTGCTTGGACGTAAATTATGGAGGGGTACTAATAATATGGGATAGAATCTTCGGTACATTCCGACCTGAGATTGACAAGATGCACATAGTTTACGGTCTTATATATAACCAGCCGTCATTCAACCCATTGTACTTGCAGGTATTTATTTATTTCAATACTATATACATATTTGTGTATGCTTCATCATCACTCATCATTATATCCCTTGTCAAGGTCACTGCTAAAGAAGGCCTTCCTTCCTCAAGGAATACTACAAAACAAGGTCCTGAGCCACCGATGAATGCATCGGCTTTGTAACGTGCATGCGGCTCATTGATGGTTTAGTGACTAACGCCACTCATGAACAACTGTAACACCAAGGGAAATGCAGATGCATTGCTGGCCTTTGAAAAAAGTGAAGGTTCTTTTCCTAAGATCCATAAGTCATATCGGTCCGAAAAATTCGTTACCATTATTACCAAAATAATTATAGAAATTATCTCCATACTTAAGTAGATAGTTGAAAATGGGAACAATTCTAATATGATAAGATAAAAGTCAATATTAATTGTTGTATTTGTTTGTTGCAGTCATTCTACACAGGGTATGTCGTGGAGAAGTTCAAGCGTTTCAACACGTGGGGTGATAAACTAAGAGCCATATTCTGGGGTCCAAGCTGGGAACCGGGTACGGCGAGACTCGGGGACGAAGAACAAAAACTTGATGTAAGCATTGATACGTTTTATTAAGTTTAAATAATCGTAACAATACTATTAATATTTGCCTCAAGACCGCATTTCGGTCTCTGCGACCGATCCCAACGAAGACATCTGCGCAGGGTAAAATTATAATGCACGAGTGACTCTTCCTTACTCTAGGATGCTATATCTAGCTCAACCCAAGATTCCAACCTGGAACCACGTGTTTAGCAGACGTTTGCGATCACTAGTTTAACGAGACGTTCTAAATAATGCTTAAAATTTCTAATATTCCTGTTAACCGCTACTAGCGACCTTAAAAAACTTATGTAAGGAGTGATTTGCGACAGTATTTGAAGGATGGAATGGTTCACGACCGTCTGTAATCCTACGTTCTGTGAGAACATGGTCTTTCCCGGTTGAGCCGACCCGTTCGAGCACTAACCATAATATAAACTTTTTGTGTTCTAAATCTAAATAAATAGTACATTTTTAGAAGATTTTTTTTGACTATGAAATAAAATGTATTTTAACTTAATCTCTTATTTCAGATTGAAATAAGGGAAAAATACGACGTGTGCCTTCCTACGTGGTGTAATTTATACCTGGTGACGCATTACGCGGTCGTTTTCTACGGGTTCTTTGATCTCACTGACAGATACATGGTAATTTATAAAAATCATTTTATTAATATATATATATATATTTAAGTTTTCTTAGTGATTTTTTCGCAAAATAAATATATTCGGAGACGTAAATCTTAAGTCTAAGCCTTTCAGAATGATTTTTCCGACCATAATGATCAATCAAAAAACTTAAAAGATTCAAAACATTAATATTTCTTGAATTCTATTTATTTAATAATTTATTATTTTCCAGGGTATGACACCGATATCCGTTCTAATATTCGTGTTCTACATCATTGCATCTCTCACTATCATCGGGATGATGTTCGATAATTCCAAATACGCACCAATTCTAGAAGTTTTACGCTGTTCCGCGTTGGCATTCTTGACAAGAAGTGTTGCTAGCACAAACCCAGCGTTAGGAACATCTCTTCAAATTTTCTACGTATTATCCGCCATGTTCTGGTGTTTGCATACATTGAAGTTATTAGAAATAAAAAATAGGTCCAAGATGGAGTAAAAAAGCTAGTCCCTTACACACAAGAAGTAACCAAAAAGTTAATGATTAATTAGTTTTGTTTCTTAGCAATAAGACTTAAATATAGTAAAATTGCTCATTTGAGAAATGAATATCTCTTTCATTGCGTATTTCACTAGAAATATTTGTGAAGCCATCAATATGAGCCAAAGGCATTTTAATATAATTAGTTTAAGATTCATGTAAATTTATTTAAGCACTGCCCATTTTCATTATCGTATTAATAAGACACCCATGCGGTTACTTAAGAGATGTTGATATTTTTTTTAAATAAAATAAGAATGACAAAAAGGACATAGTTCACCTGATGGTAAGTGTAGGATATGGCCTATATATTAAAATATTATTTACATTATTACATATTATTACAATTTTCATTGGTGTTCTGTGAGAGCACGGTCATACCCTGGTCGAGGCGACCCATTCGTGTTGCAGCTATAAGCTTCAGCGTGACTTTGTCACGTAATAGTATGAAAATTAAAAAAAAACATATTAAATTGTTTGATTCAAATAATTAGTAACTTAGCAAGTGGCAAACTATTTACGCGCAGTTTACGTAATTGCAAATAGCTCATTGGGCTGCATACTGCTACTGTATCGTGTTCGCAACTAACTGGTCTCTGTTACTTACTTTATTCACATTCAATTTGCGATAAAACTGCATGTGATGAAGTTGTCGTCTGGGGCCTTTAATAATATTGACGTATTATCGAGTTCTTTATATATCGGATATTTTAAGTTTTTTAAAAAAATTACAGTAATTTTAAGGATGTTTTGCAATTAAAAATTGTGACTGTATTTTTATCTTTAAATCGACTAAGATTTTTATTCATATTAATTGTTTTACTTTCCTACTATTTACTAAGTAGTAAAGGTGTTATTATGTGCCAACAAAATTTATTTATAAGTGCTATCATTGCGACTATTTATTCCGTATTGTTTTTATTTGTAAAAATGAATATATTTGTAAGTTTGTATAACTAGTTTGTTTCAATTAAAATTCCTTTTTAACTTCCCGCTATGAAAATAAATTATTTTCAAAAATCGGTAAATTATTGATTTAATCCCAGTTTTCGAAAATCGGGGTTGCCTCAGATATTGACGTGACATTCTGAGATCCTAGGAAGCCATTCTGACTATTCCTACAAGAATGTCACTATGTCTGTATGTACATAGTATGTATATATCTATAAAGCATAAGCATGTATGCATGTGTATGTGTGTGTATGTTTATCTGTAAACCTCTCATCAATTTCGAATAGGTTTCACCAAACTAAGACATTCAGTACTGTTTAACCGATTTGGACCGGTAGATTTTGAGAAATCTCAAAAATAAAATTAAAAAATGCTTTTTATTTGGAATGACTTTTAAACAGATGTAACTATCAATTCCATCTAATCACCTCTTAAACATGGAAAATGACGTCAATTACTGCAAACCGCTTCAAAATCGGTTAATACGGGGAAGAAAAATCGATGACGAAAATTTCGAAAAAGTGCTTTTTTCACATAACTTTTGAATTTATAGTCTAGTCGTTTTTTTATAATAAATTTTATTATTTTTCTAATATACCAATTACCTTCATCAAAATTTATGTGCTAGAGCCACGCTGCAGCTATATTATAGTTGTAGCACGAATAGATCTGCTCAACCAGGGCAGGACTACTCTCTCACAGAATACCAGTGCAAAATAACAGCGTAATGCTGCTATTTTGTATGGGGAGTGTAGAGAACCGGGAACCCTATTTACTGGATAGAGGTATTCCATCTTAGTCCTCAGGGGTGACAAAGCACTTGCATTTTGATTCTTAATTGCGGATAATGATGTCTATGGGCCACAGCATCCTCTTACCATCAGGTGGACTGTGTACTCGTTTGTCACTCAATGCTATAAAAAATCCGTTCTAAAGTTATCGTTTTCAAAAGATAACATCTAAATATCTACTCGAATCATTTTTTGCTGTAATGAAATAACTATTGGTTCGTAAAAATGTTTGTCGTGCGTTTTGAGATCGAACATACTGGAAGTTCTAAGAATGGCTTTCGCCTACAAAACCAGACGCATAATTAGATGCTGCTCAAGTCTTTATAGTATATGTAAGTGGCTTCTGCAGCCCATGCGCAGGTGCTCATACAGCAGGTGCAACCAATTTAAAACAAATAAGGTTACATATGCTTTGTCATCTCTGAGGACAAAGATGGAATATCCCACAGCCTGTACTTACACTTGATCTCTATATCTACCCTATATCTTCCCGTAGGTGTCGTAAAAGGTGATAGAGGGAAACAGACATCCCAGCAGCATCTTTCTGATAGCAGCAACTGTACAACAAAAAAATGCGTTTGCCAACCCACCCGCCAAGCGTAGCAACTATGGCTATATACTCCCCATGAGCACCGACGCAAATAGACGGCCCCCATTCCCCGGCGGTGTCGCTATTCCTGGCTACGGTGGCTATCATGATAACGGCGGGGCAGGGGATTCTAGAAATCTCCAGTGGAGGTTCGGTTGAAGCTGGAAGAAGAGATAGACAAGTTGCACTGGAATATTATAGGACTATCCGAGGGCCAAAAAGAGAGGGGAAGAACACGATAATTCTCGAAGCTTCATTACTTAAGAAATAATTGACGTGTTGATTGTAAATTCAATCGACAACTACTAATAATGATTTGGCAAAGCGGTTCGTCTAAACTTTGAAAGTTCACATAGAAGAGACAAGACCACAACGAGTTAAATGCTTGTTAAAATATTTGCGCAATGGCCTCCTCACTGTCTCAAAACACGGACTTTTTACCTCGAATATTAGTAAAACTGCACTAATTGCAAAATAAAAATACAAAAAGAAATAGGGATATTTTAAAATATCCCTAGTATCCGGACACCAAATTTATTTATTTATTTATTTATTTAAAACTTCATATACACAAGTGGTATATAGGCGGACTTAATGCCTAAGGCATTCTCTCCCAGTCTACCTTGGGATGATGCAGAGATAGAATGAAGTAGGTGTAATAAAAAGTTAATATGCGAATACTAAAATAAATTAACAAAAAAAATTGTAATATATGGAAATAAAATACATAAGATATAAATGGTACATCGCAAAAAATAGATAAAATTACATTAATATTCATACACATATATGTATATAAAATATATAATATACATAATTACAATAAGAACAATAAGAATATATATATACACATATAAACATACATACATACATATATATACACATATACATACACATACACATGTACAACCAGTGCGTATTGCCAGTGATGACTTACGATCAGAGACGTGGTCCATCACTGCTGACCGTATGAGGACGCTGGTTCTGCCAATGATGAGGATGATGATTCTGCCAATTTATTAAGTAAGTGTTCCCGAACCTTCATCTTGAACGCGTACCGATTGCTAGCCGTCCTGATTTCGAGAGGGAGTGCGTTCCAAAGGAGAATAGATTGAATGTGGAAAGAATAATGAACAAGTCCAGAGCTATGGGATGGACATAGGAGAAGAAGGTTGTTCGTAGAGCGGAGGTTTCTCTCATGACTAGCACTAAGCAACTGAAAGTGAGGAGATAAGTAGGAAGGGGAAGTTGGAGACATCAGGATAGAATAAAGGGTGGTGAGTGCACGCAAACTACGGCGTTGACGAATAGGTAACCATTTTAATTGAGATCGATACGTGGATACATGGTCATACTTTCGAAGATTGAAAATGAATCGAATGCAGTTATTCAGAAGACGGTGATATTTGTTGAGAAGATCTGCATTCAGGTCGAAATAACACACATCACCATAGTCGATTAGGGGAAAAATTAAACTCTGCACAAGCATTGTTTTAATTTCAGATGGTAGAAAATTTTTTAGGCGATAGAAAGAACGCAGGGTACCAGTGACTTTCTGGCTAACGGTCGTTGTTTGGGCTTTCCAACTCAAAGTAGAATCAATTAATAAACCTAGGTCCTTCACAGTGGAACACAATTGAATCTCAGTACTATTAAAAAAGATAGGAGGTAGAGCTACTGTTTTCAATCTCTGGATCATCGGACGGCTACCAATTATTATGGCCTGACACTTCGAAGGGTTGACCATTAGGCCAAACCTGTCAGACCAGTTCTTAATGTACTCAAGGTCCCTGTTAAGTGTGTCCACCGCTGTAGAAATATCGTCAATACTCGCTTGTGTGTACAATTGCAAGTCATCAGCATACAGATGATACGCAGACTGAAGGTTTTGAGTAATGAGATTAATAAATATAGAAAACAACAAAGGAGATAATATGCCGCCTTGAGGGACACCAGCATGTATGTCAAGCCAGCTAGATGATAGCTCATCGATGCGAACCGACTGCTGGCGCCCTCGAAGATATGATGAAAACCAATCCAGTGCTTCGGGTGAGATCATAGAAAGGGAAAGGATGGAAATTAGAATATCATAACTAATGGTATTAAAGGCGTTTGAGAAGTCAACCAAAACCAACACAGTGACTTTAGTGTCCTCTATGCCTGCCCTAATATCACCAGTTACTTTCAGGAGTGCGGAAACGGTACTATGACCGGGCCTAAAGCCAGACTGCAAGGGACTTAATAAGTTATTACGAGAGATAAACTGCGAAAGTTGCTTGTGGACACAGGCCTCAAGGACCTTGGATAAGAAGGGAAGGATGGATATAGGTCGGAAATGATTGGGTAAAGTGGGATTTGGGATCTTTTGTAAGGGAATAACGTAAGCCTTACGCCACAGTGAGGGAAAATTACCAGAATTCAAGGAGAAGTTAATGATGTGCGAGATGACTGGGAGGATATGGTCAAGTATATAGATAATCATCCGTCGGCTGATGTTGTCGTAACCTACAGCATTAGATTTAATGGAAAGGATTATCTTCTTGATCTCATCAACAGCTACTGGAGAAAATTGAAACAGATTAATATCAGGACGAGGTAAACCCATTAAGTGTTCAACAGTAAGACGCTTTGTCTGTTGATCAAGAGGACTGTTGGAGACAAAATGAAAATTGATATCATCCAGACCAATCGTCCTTTGAAACTCACAACGGTGTCGTTTACCGATACCTATGGTTCCAAGGAACTTCCAGATATTAGCAGGGGAAGAAGATGAGATGTTACTAAGAATAAATCGGCGTTTGGCGTTGCGTATCATCTGATTACACCGATTCCTTGCAACTTTATAAAGCGTCCAGTTTTGATCACATCTATCTCTTCTAAATTTGCCGAAAGCGCGATCCCTACGTCTCATCGCAATCCGAACCCCAATTATATGACGTACATGCTCCCATCAAAAAACTTTTTTGATGGGAGCATGTACGTCATATAATTTAAGGATAGCTTCATTCAAAGCCCCAACTTTTTCATCCACAGTGGGTGCAGAAACCACGCTGTTCCAGTTTATTTTGGATGCATCCACACAAAGCTTTTCAACATCCAAGCGACCAAAACAAGGCATGTGTAGAGTTTTAGCTGGAGGTTTAGGAGGTTTAAGGACGTAAGAAAGGAAAATGAGGTCGTGATAGGAGAAAACAGGTGCAAAGTGTTGACCGTGGCAGAAGACAAGAGAAGGAGCAGAGGTAAGGATTAAGTCAAGCCAGGTATCCTCCACATCAATATTGTGGTGAGTGGCTTGTAAAGGTAAAATGTGGAGGCCAACCGAATCGACAATTTGAAGGAGCTTAGAGGAACGGGTTAAGTGCGGAGTGAGGAGATCTGTATTAAAATCGCCCATGATGACGTGATGTGAGTATTCCAACCCCAAGGATTCCAGAATTGTTTCAAGACTGGAGAAGTAATCGACAGAAGGAGGACAGTAGACAACGCCAAGTACTAATTTGGCTCCTTTTTACGCAAACTTCAAGGAAAAGAAATTCTGCAGATGCAGTATAATAGGGGGAAGAAGAAGCTAAAATTTTATAAGAAAAGTCAGAACGAAGATATATAGCGACCCCACCCCCTCTCCTATCAATTCGATCGTTGCGTATCAAACTGAAGCCAGAGAGAGGGTAAGAGGTAGAAGGAAGATGGGGCTTAAGCCAAGTCTCCGAAATCAAGACGGCATGAACAACAGCGTCAGAGAAAGCCTCAATCAGATCACTGTAATGACTAGGTACGCTCTGTGCATTAATGTGGCAAACATTAAACAAAGAGCGGGATTCATCGAATTTATGTCGCACAAAATCCCCTAACGTTTCAGTAATAGAGCAATAACTGTCATTTGATGAAGAAAACTCGTTGGCAGAAAGAAAAGAATCATCATCGGAACTCATCTATATGTAATAGAATATATAAAAATAAATAAATAAATAGACCTAAAATATAAGAATAAATAAATTAGTATAATTAAAATTATATAACGTAAAAAAAATAGTAATAATTTCGATTGCTAAACTGCCATCCCTGCACCACCCGCCAGCTAACACACTCAAAAATTAAAAGACAAATATAATACAAAAAACAATAAAAATAAAAATGATTTGCAAGACAACTACAACTAAACTACGTTAAGATTACTAATAATAAATAGCAGAACTTAGAACAAATAAAAAGTATCATAGAGAAGTGTCTCATAGACGACAAATATACTATGTCCAAAGGACTTTGTATCCATGATCATGTATTAACCCTTAATTACTCGCGTGGGGTATATTTAACCCCACGGCGTATTTGAAGCGTCGTATCTCCGCCATTTTTAAAGTTACCTCCATGCCGTTCTTAGTAGCTGCCTAAATACCTCCCCCCGCCGCGAATCAGTCACGAGCGCCGCTCCGTGTCGTGTGGTTGTGTCAGGAGATTGTGTCTGGGGTATATATTGCCCCACGCGAGTATTCGTGCAACTTTTTTTGGACGAGTGAGTATTTTTATTTTTATTTTTTAATGTGCAGTACAGATACTAAATGGTTAGGTTTTTTTTACTTATCTTTGTTTTCTGTTCTTTTTTAGGTTATAACACCTAAAATGGCAAGTAAGCGTCTTTCTAACTACCAGATTCTTGAGCGTATATTAGAAGACGACGAAGAAAGCATCATAGATAGTCCCGATGAAGATGAGGGAGACGATGAAGTGATCCAGAGTGACCACAACTCAGAATCTGAAGAAAGTGCCCATGAAACCGAGTTAGAATGGAGTGATGACGATAATGAACCGCTGAGTAGACACGCAAGTAAAGATTCTGATAGCTTTTATTTATCAAAAAAGAAATGCACAAAGTGGGCAAAAGAGCCGCCGCGTACTAGCGTTCGAGTTCGTAGACACAATATTATGAGGGAAACACCAGGACCTAAGGGAGCAGCCAAGGAGATACATACAATGTCAGAAGCATTCTTTTGTATGTTTTCAATGGATACTGTCAATTTAGTACTGCAACAGACCAACGATTACATAAAATCGATACAAGGAAAATTTCAACGCGAACGTGATTGCAAATTCCTAGAATACGAAGAACTTTTGGCTTACCTAGGTTTGCTTTACATGTCTGGTGTGCTGCGTTCATCTCACTTGAACTTCAAAGATCTGTGGGCTACCGATGGAACAGGCATCGAGTTTTTTCAAAACACAATGTCATTCAACAGATTTCTTTTTATATCAAGATGTGTTCGTTTTGATGACAAAAATACTAGATCTGAAAGGCAAAAGACAGACAAACTAGCAGCAGTCAGAGAGTTCACTGATTTGATGAATAATAATTTCATCAATAATTACTCTGCATCTGAAAATGTCACCCTAGATGAACAATTACCTGCCTTTCGAGGAAGATTTTCTGGTGTTGTTTATATGCCCAACAAACCCACGAAGTACGGCATAAAGCATTATGCACTCGTAGACTCGGCAACATTTTATTTACTGAAATTTGAAATTTATTCTTTAGTACAACCTGAGGGTCCATATCGAATGCCTAATGATACAGTAAGTTTGGTAAAGCGCATGACAGAACCCATCTGGGGTACTGGTCGAAACGTTACGATGGACAACTGGTTCACTAGCGTCCCTCTTACAAATACGCTTCTAAAAGATCACCAGCTTACTATGGTTGGAACTATTCGCAAGAATAAGCCGGAAATTCCAACTTGCTTCCAGCCCAAACGAACACTAGCTGAGCATTCCAGTCTGTTTGGTTTCCAAGAAGACGTAACACTTTGCTCTTACGTTCCAAAAAAACCTAAAGCTGTACTGCTGATTTCGTCAATGCATCATGACAATAAAATAGTTGAAAGTGAAAAGAAGAAACCGGAAATTATTTTGTACTACAATCGCACGAAAGGTGGCGTAGATACCAACGACCAAATGTGTGCTAACTATAACGTCGGCAGACGTACAAAGAGATGGCCTATGGTTATATTTTATCACCTTCTCAACGTTGCTGGTATCATATGTCATTTATAAAAATAAAATTGACCACTGAATATCAAGAAAGGAGTTTTTGAAGCATCTTGCAGTTGATTTGGTAAAGGCTCGCCAACAAACTCGAGCAACTATACCACAACTGCCTAGGGCCGTACAAAAACGGCTAAAAAGAAATGCTCAAGTTCAGGATCCTAGCCCCACTTCCAGAGGTGGTCCATCGACAACTTATAAAAGGTGCCATATCTGTCCAAGGTCGAAGGATAAAAAAATAAGATTTATGTGTGCCAAATGCCACCAGCAAGTTTGTCACGACCATTCCACTATGATATGTGATAAATGTATTGATTAAAAGGTTCCTAAATTTAAAGTTTCATATCTTTAAAAGTTTTTAAGGATACTATTAAAATTTAGAATAATGTTGCCTCTTTCAAATTTTTATAATAAAAAAAAAGTATGTCATTAAAAATATGTTTTATTGTACCTTTACAATTGGGGTTATATATTCCCCACGCGAGCGTAAGTGTAACTATATGGACGCGAGTAATTAAGGGTTAATAAAAAAAAACCTTCCCAGCGACTGAAAGTTAACTTGCACTATGCACTTATTACGAATCTATTAATCTATGGACAAAATATAATCAAAAGCAAAACAACTTAATACCAAAACAAAGTAGAACTTAACCTAAAATGTAATTAAAATTTAAAGTGAAAATATACAAGTTTTAATAAATGATGTAAAACGAAAAACTATATTAAAATTAGAAATTAACTAATTTAAAAAAAATGTAAATAAATGAGAAAGAAAGAAGCTTAAGGTTACATAAAAGCAAAACTAGGTTTAATACTGTGCATCAAAAGTAATAATAAATTATACTAAGTAATTCTGCAATATTGAATAAATTTAAAGTTGTAATAAAAGGAAAAAGGAGAATTAAGACAATAAAACGCAATACTGCGTAGTTATTTACGTGGCTTAGAATTGCTTCCTGCAATGCGCTCGCCTCCAGTTGAGGATTCAGCAGTCGCCTTAGGGTGTTTTTGCGTAAGAGTAGTCAGCTCATCTAAGGTAGTGACTTTATGGCGGGATCCATCTGCAACTTTCACCACAATTACTCCATCTTGGGTCCAGCATGCACGCATGCCGAAATGCTGACGGGCTTTGCCAAAAACAGTTTGCCGAGACTTTGTCAAGAACTCCTTTACTGAAACTGGACAACCTTTCAGTCTAGACTTCGCCCTCCATACTGATGACCTGAAGTCAACGCTAAGAAATCGAACTAGGATTGGCCGGATACGATTTTTGGTGGCTACACCAATCCTGTGGCAGACACTAATGCAAGATGCTGTGATGTCCTTCAACTCCATTTTGTGGATTATACTTAGCACTGTAGCCTTGCAGTCCTCCTTCTCCTCTTCAGCAACACCCAAGAAAAGGAGAGCCTTTCGTCGATGCCTGGTCTCAATAGCGTCAACCATATGGGAGCACTCATTAATTTGTTTACGGAGCATACCGAGCATAGAGAACATGAGTTCACGGAATGTTCGAAACTCCTCAGCCACCTTTGCAACCGTGTCCTTAGCGGATCCCCCCCGTGTGTAACTGTGCTTCCAGTTCGGCCATCCTTTTTGAAAAGCATTCCTCCAAGCTGTTCTGTGCAGTTCTAATCTCATCAAGTTGAGACATTGTGTTGTGCCAAGATATAAATGAAATCCAAGTGTGTGTAATATGCTGGCAGGTGGTGTATTTAGATGGAATGAATTCACATATACACAGTTGTACAAATGCGATTACCAAGAAAATGGTGTTAATTAGCACTCAAATATGTAACAAATTATGTAGAATATTGTATAAGTTAATTTAAAATACAAATTAAAATTTTACGTATGTGTTAACTTTTTCTTCACCTACCGCCGAAAAAAAAAAAGTGAAAAAATGTGGAAATAATGGCGCTGAATCTATTACTAGCAGCTCTCAAGTACACAACGAGCCCGATGAGTATTTTATAAATCAAATACAATAAGCAATAAAAATATCTAAGAAAATATACACGAGATTCTGGAAAAAAGAGCTACATTAAAAAAGGAGTTCCAGTTGTTTGAAGCAACCGCAGAAAGCTTGGAACTACTGTAAAAGTAAAGTAAAATTACAGCCCACTGCTGGGCACAGGCCTTATCTCATTTCTGAGAGGGTTTTAGGGCAAGGAATAGTCCGCCACACTGCCCCAATGCGTGTTGGCGAACTTCACATGTCTTCGAAATATTTTTTTTCTTATTTCTCAGATATGCAGGTTTCCTCATGATGTTTTCCTTCACCGCCGAGTGCGTAGTAAATCAGTACTTAAAATTCCAATTAACAATTTCTGTATAAAGCCTTAAACAAAATTAAACCGACATCTGACGAAAACAAGAGAGTATTCTCCTTGTCCGGTCATATTATTACAAAAATCAGAAACAGATTGTCGGACAAAGCTGTTGAGGCTCTGATTTTTTAAAAGCCTATAAGAAATCTAATTAATGTGCTGTTGATTGGGAGTTGATTACTTAAAAGACTGATTTATAACTGTTTATTATTTATATTTAGATTGTTTAATTATGTAACAGTTCTGTGATTATGAGAATTAACAATGTTGTGATTATGACCAATATTAGATACTAGAATTACTAAATAATAGTAAAGTTATTAAGAATCAGTATGATTTTTAACTAATTTCGATTTGTAACTATTATATTTAACTGCTTAAAAGTGAATGTGTGTGTGATTAAAGGAAATAAACAAAGCAATTATTAAGACTGAAGCAACTGAAGTTAACGAACGTCAAAGTTATTAAGATTTAATTTTCTGTTTAATAAATGTTCTTAAGTGTCGATGTCCCGGGAATTCCCGGGAATTTGATTGTAGGCTGTCTCGTGTCCCGGGACTTTGAAGTTGTCGGGAATTCTAAACCCTAATACAGACGCAGAGCTCCCGAAGATGGTGGCAGGAAAGTTACAATCAAATCTCGCTCTGGAGCGTTCGAAACCTTAGATAACAGCTGGATTGTCCCGTATTCGGCCATTCTATGTAAAATATTTAATGCCCACATTAATATAGAAGAATGAAGCTCTGTCCGCGCAATCAAGTATATCTGTAAGTACATAAATAAAGGAAGCGACCAAGTAATATTTAATCTCAGGAGTGAAGGTGAGGCATATCCCGTTAATGAAGTACAGACCTTTCAAGCAGGGCGTTATGTCAGCAGTAAAGAGGCAGCGTGGCGTCTCGTTTGCTACCCTTTACACGAAAGGCACCCAACAGTTATTCACCTTGCTGTGCACTTAGAAAATGGAGAGTGTGTATATTTCATCGGAAGAAATTTCCAAGAAAGAATTGCATCACCCCAAAAAACTACACTAACAGCCTTCTTTCAACTTTGTCAAACCGACCCCTTGCAAAAACGTTGTTATATTCTGAAGTCCCTCGCTATTATACTTGGAACATATCTAGAAAGGAGTGGAAACGCCGTATTTAGGGTGCGCCTGTTACAAATTGGCCCGGTGTAAAGTCATCAGATGCCCTTGGTCGTGTGTATACCGTCCATGTAACTAATTTCGAAGGTTTCTGTTTACGATTGCTGCTGCACCATGTTCGAGGTCCTACAGGGTATAAAGACCTTAAAACTGTCAACGGTCAGGAATGCGCAACTTGTAGAGAAGCATGTGAAGCTCTGCATCTTTTAGAAAATGATAATCACCGGGATGTAACCATGGAAGGGAAGCTGTGCAGTGCCAGTCACCAGCAAATTAGGGATTTTTATGCAACTCTCATATCATTTTGCGGGATATCTAATGTTCATGAATTGTGGGACAAATATAAATAGTACATGGCGGAAGATATTTTGCGAAGGTTGCAGCAGACACACGCGAACATGATACACAATGAACACATTTATAATGAAGCACATGGAAAAATTGAAGATAAAGTAATGGCAATGGTAGGCAAAAAATTAAGCAACTTTGGAATGATAAGCCCTCCGTGAACAACCGAAAATGAACTAAGTGATGAAATTATACGTGAAACAAACTACGATGAGCTTTGCAGCAGCAAGTAGCCGAATTTGTACCCAGCTTGCTTCCCGAACAAAAACGAGTTATTGACAAAGTATTAGGACAAATTGAATCTGGAAATGGTGCACTTTTTTTTTTAGATGCCCCTGGAGGAACTGGGAAGATATTTTTGTTAAATTTATTACTAGCGCAAGTACGGAAAGATAAAAATATTGCTGTGGCCGTAGCTTCCTCTGGTAGAGCCGCCACGCTGCTAAGCGGGGGTCGCATTGCACATTCTGTTTTAAAACTCCCTCTAAATCTAGCCCAGGAAGAATCGCCGATCTGCAATTTTAGCAAAAATAGTACACGAGGTGTAATGCTACGACAATGCAAACTTTTAGTGTGGGACGAAAGTACAATGTCGCATAAAAAGCTGTAGAAGCACTAAATCGAACGCTCCGAGGAGGTACGCTAAGAGGGTTTGCGCAGCAATACCGATGTAATGGGAGGAATGGTGGTTTTACTGGCTGGTGACTTTCGCCAAACTTTACCTGTCATTCAAAAGGGCACACCTCCAGATGAAATTAAAGCACGCCTCAAGTCGTCTATTTTATGGAACAAGGTGACCAAATTCAGTTTAACTACGAATATGAGAGTGCATTTGTATAATGATATCAATGCTGGAAACTATGCTGACACACTATTAAAAATTGGCGATGGATGGTTGGAAACGGATGCTGAGGGCCGCGTTAAATTGACGGGAGATTTTGTAATTTAGTAGGGAGTCATTCCGAATTAATTGCGAGCGTTTATTCAGATTTAACGAACAACATGCATGAAAACAAGTGGTTATGTGAAAGGGCGATTCTTTCACCAAAAAATGAGAGCGTTAACAAAAGAAATTCCGATATATTAAGCGAAGTAGCAGGAGAAATAACAGTATTTGTCAGTAGACACAGTTATGGACACAGTACAGAGCACTTCATATCCGGTAGAGTTTCTAAATTCTCTAGAGTTGTCAGGTGTGCCATCACATAAGCTTCAATTAAAATTAGGCGTCCCAGTCACGCTAATGCGAAATTTAGATGCTCCTCGGTTATGTAACGGGACAAGACTGCGTGTAACACATCTTGGACGGAACATATTCGGTGCTACAATTTTGACAGGCGTAGGAAAAGGTGAAAATGTTATTATACCACGGATCCCTATAATTCCCACATCTTCCTTTTCTTTCTGCTGCGTTTCAAAACATTTAAACAGGCTGACGAATAAGTTTTGCTCAGTTTCCTTTTAGTGGCTGCATCTCTGACAAATCTATAAAACTCAGTTATCTTTCAATTCAAAAAGCAATGGATAGTTCATTTCCCAGTGACCATGCGGGCGAGCCGCGGATAACAGCTAGTTATTTATAATATTTTGTTCAAATAGTTGTCAAAAGTAGTCTAATTCGCATAACTATATATTCTTGTCATATACGTTATTATCCTGTACCTAAATGAATAGTAAGTGCATGTAATCTTTTGTGTTTTACGAGTGTAGCAAATACGATACATTGCTAGATGGCGAACATTCTCGATATTTTTTGCTACGTATCAAATATGTGACATTGCCTGATTTATATAGATACTACTCGGGTTTGATTTACAGATCGCGGCTATAGCTAGGCTACGATTAGATTGGCTGTTGTGGCCAAAATGTGGTCAAGATGACAATTTTATTACTACTATTTCTTATTTTCTTCCGCAGGTACTTCCTCACCTTATTATTCAACAACAAAGAAGAGCTTGGAACTCGTAGCTCTCGTTCCGAAGCCGGGAGCAAAATTGGATTTGGGCGAAAGTGAATCATCTCATGATGAATTTCAATACTACAACCGCCCAAAGCACTCCGACAGCAGTACACCACCTCCATCACTTTCATCTTCAGTAGGAAACAAGTGATTGCTTCAACATCTCTGGTACTACATCAATAGTCATCAGTGTCATCACCATCAAACAACCCTTGAACGCCATCAATTTTATCGCCCAATAGATCAGCAACTGAGACTAGTCCTTGGTATTCGGTACCGTCACCATTATCACCATCTATACTGGCTACTCCCTCACAAGTACTTTCACCAAGAGTTAGTAACTTCAAGCGGCGTAATCAGTTACCGCCGCGCCATCGCCATTGTATGCACCTTCTCCTTCATCAGCTACTCGTTCAAGGAGGCCTAGACTTGTCACAGTAAATCGCAGAGGAATACCACCAAAAAGGTTAGAATCTAATTGGAGTCGCTTCAAGTTTACTGGTTTTGCAGAAGTGGATGATATCGCGTTTGAGCCACGTGAATATAAAAGTCCAATTGAATACTTTAGGCTGTTCTTTTCTGATGACATAATTTATCTTGTAGTGCAACAAACAAATTTATATAGCACACAATTAAAGGTAACACAGTAAATATTACAGAAGTCGATATCACAGATTTTCTGGCAATTCTTGTATATATGGGTGTCAATAAATTGCCAGCTTATACAGATTATTGGGCTAAACTTACGCGATGCGATAAAGTAGCTGATATAATAACCCTCAAGAAGTTCCAATTACTGAGGCGTTATTTGCATTTTAATGACAATTTGAAAGATGATGGTGATAGGTATTATAAAGTAAGGCCAGTCCTTCAAATAATACGTGAGAATTGTTTACAAGTCGAAGAAGAGACACGTTTTAGCGTAGACGAAATGATGGTTCCACATGAAGGAACAAGAGCAGGCAGCCGTAAACAATATATAAAAAATAAACCGGAAAAAGGGGCTTATAAAATATTTGTTCGCGCTGTTGTCTCTGGAATATTTTACGACTTCCTGATCTATGGAGGCGATGACGCGTTCAGATTTCACTCATTCAAGGATATAGAAAATAGTATGGGCCTAAGGTCAAAAGTAGTTTTAGCTTTGGCAAAATCTATTCGACAACCCGCTTGCAAAATCCTGTGTTTCGATAACTTTTTCACATCTGTTACAATATTTACACAATGAACGTGGCATTTTTTCAATATGAACAATCCGAGCAAACAGGCTCCGAGGAGCGGAGAAAAGCCTACCCACGGATAAAAATCTTAAAAAATGGGTAGAGGATCTCATGCACAAGTCGTATGCAATAAAAATAAGATCGCTGTTGTCAAATGGTTCGACAACAAATGTGTTACTGCTGCAAGCAATTTTGTGGATGCGTATCCTACCCAGATTGTGGTTCGTTACAAGAAAAAAGAAGGTAGAAAAGTGCCAGTGACTTGTTCCAATTGAATAAAAGAATACAACACTAAGATGGGTGGTGTTGATCTCACCGACATGTTGGTTGTTCTATATCGTACACCATTCCGAGGTCATCGTTGGTCTCATCTGTATAAACTATTCCTGGCTTCTATATCGGCGTGACAGAAAAGCCAGAATGGATACCAAAAAACGAAAATCACTAAAAAAACTTTAGAATGGAAATTTTTGAAAGCCTACGGAGGTATGAAAGAACTGATATCAGCAGGCCTGGCATGAAATCAACAAAGACTATACAGAAACCAACAGCTGAAAGACCGCCAGATGCTTTTCGGTATGATCAAGTTGCTCATTAACCAACTATAATAACCAGCAGAGGAAGGTGTATGTATTGCACAAAAGGGCTGACTAAGTTCTTTTGTCAGAAATGTAAATTAATGTAAATTGTGCTTAATGGAACGTAATTGTTTCATGGAATACCAAACTAAAAAATAATACTTTATTTATTTATTTATATTTTATTTTTAACTGTGAGTTATGTGATTGATCTGAATTTACCAATAATTTAGACTTATAAAATACAAAGGCTGTATATTTTATATTAATTTTATACGTATGTAAAAGAATTTTTTTATTTCACTAAGAATTTTTAGATTTTAGCCTTTGTTTTGTTACAATTATATTTGAAACCCATTTATTAACTTTACTCAAACACTGGCAGTGTAGCAAATATCTGATTTGCTACACTGCCAGTGTAGCAAATTAGTATTACGTAGATTTTATAGCGTTGATTGTTAAGGGCCTGGCAATGTATCTAATATGATACGCTTAATAAATGTTGAATTACTTAAATTATATTTTTTTTAATTTTTTTTATCCCTTCAACAACCACTCAAGAACATATTTAATATCATTTTTTACAATATTTCTAAAATATTGTTTCTTGCGAAGTATAGGGTTAAACTAAGTGTTCGTGGCGCGGTGGGACGATCGTTACAATATAATTTGGAAGTTCGAGTCATTTCAATTGTGTATCATATGTAATATTTTTCACATTATAATGTCTGAGAGTCACTACAAAAACGTCAACACTTCAACTTCAAAAACTACAAAAAATATTGACAGTCACAGGAAAGTACAGAAACTTGTTAAATGTCTAAAATGCAAGAAAATGATTTAATGGCCACAGTGTCGTGTTCGATATGTAAAATATATATGATTTTGACTGCATCGGACTTTCTGAAAAGTCATATCGAATTTGGGAAACTGACTCTAAAAAGAATTGGAAGTGTAAAATATGCGAGTTAAAAATCAAAGACAAACGTTAAACAAAACTCAGACTTATAACCAGTAATACAAAATTACGAAAAAAACCATTGTCCCCTAATTTAACATCCCAAATAAACGATTTTCACATCCTTACCACATTCAACACATCACAGGAATCGATTATAATATCGCCGGACTAACTATCAATAAGTGTTGATACTCAATCGGAAGACAGAATCGATTTTCCGTCTAGGTCAGTTCTTACCACCTCCTAAATGAAAAAAATCTGCGATCATTATTATGAGATATAATTAATTAACATAAACACTCACGCCTGTCACCCAGAGGGGTAGGCAGAGACTACAGACTTCCATTTGACACGATCCTGACCCACCTCTCTCGCCTCCTTCACATCCTTACATCTACGCATGCATGCTCGTCGGTTAAGGGTACTCCTAATTTGGCCCGTTTTCAATAAATCGCCAATTTGGTCGATAAATTTTCGCCTAGGACGTCCCTTTCCGACTCTGCCATTCACTTCCGCAACATAAATTTTCTTTGTCACACTTTCCTCATCCATTCTTTCCACATGATCAAACCACCGAAGCATTCCTTTCTTAATCCTGGTCTCAACATCATCTTGCAAACCACACTCTTCTCTTACACAATTTTTCACCTTTTTTTTTTACATGGGGAAATGCCTAAGCATACCCTACTCGCGGGGGCAAGGACGGGTTATGTCGGACTCGCACCGACTAAAACCCCATGGCGTTCCACCTTCGTCGCATATTGGCAGGGCTACGGGAACGCTTTCGCACACTTCCGCGGCCCTACCAGCGACAATTTTTCACCCTGTCATTCAGATTCAGCCCTAACATACTCCTTAACGACCGCATTTCTACTGCATTTATTCTACTCTCGTGCTTCTTCTGCCACACCCAACTTTCACTACCATACGTTAAAGTAGGGACCAACACAGCATTGTGAATTGCCATACGTGCCTTTTTTGACATATTTTGACTCTTCACAATAGAGTGCAGGGCCCCATTTACTCTGTTTCCTGCGTTCACTCGTCGTTTTATATCCTTATCATATCTCCCATCCCTGCTAAATACGCAACCCAAATATACAAACTCATCTACTTGCTCGATCAACTCCCCTTCTATTCTTATTTCACATATCATTTTACTTTCATCTCTTTCAAAAACCATAATTTTCGTCTTACTTGCGTTCACTTTCATACCCCTTTCTTTTAATGATCTGTTCATTAATGTAACCACCATTTGCAACCCAGCCGCCGACGACGCTAGAATAACTTGATCATCGGCGTACAAAAGGCATTTGATGGTTAACTCACCCATTCTTAATCCGCATTCTTCAACTTTCAAATTTTGCAAACAACTGTCCATAAATAGGTTGAACAACCACGGGGAAGCCACACAGCCCTGTCTGACACCTTTATGGATGCCAAACCAGTCGGAGTAGACCCCGTTGATCCTAACACAAGCACTAGAGTCCCTATAAAGAGATTCCAATGCCTGTATCAAGCCAGCGCTCAACCCAAATGACTTCAGTGATAGCCATAGCACATTCCTATCCACTCTGTCATAGGCCTTCTCCAAGTACATGAACGCACAAAAAACCTTTTGGTTTTTGGCCAAAAACTTCTCTGCGATCATGCGCATGGAGAAGACTTGATCTGTACATCCCATTCCCTTTCTAAATCCCGCTTGCACATCCCAAATTTTTCCATCGGTTTCTTTCATGACCCTTTCAATTAGTACCTTGGCATACAATTTTCCCACGATGCTAAGAAGGCTGATACCTCGGTAGTTTTTACATTCCTGCTGCGACCCTTTTCCCTTATATACTGGGACTATCACGGCTTTGCACCAGTCTCCCGGTACCCGCTTCAGTTCCCAGCATAAATTAAACAAGGTGTGCAGCAGGCCTGCCACCACTTCCTCTCCAGCCCTTAGCATTTCGAGTGAAACTCTATCATATCCGGCAGCCTTACCTGCTTTCATGCTTTTCATTGCTTTCATTATTTCATCTATACTTATCTCGCTACCTCCTTCCTCTTCTTTCGGAGTTCCTATTTCATTCAGTTCATACGTTGTCTCCTCACTCATAAACATGCTTTCAAAATATTCCTTCCATCTCTTTAAACTCAAAACTTCATCATTCAGAATATAGCCATTCTCATCTCTTATAGCATTTATTATAGGCTGTTTTGAACGTCTCCTGGCAGTTCTTACGAGTTTCGAGAGCATTTTAATATTTGCCTGGAAGTTATCCGATATTCTTCTATCATTCTTATCCGTTCTTTCTTGCTTTTTCCTTTCAACTACTTCTTTTACTCTTTTATTTAGATGTCTAAAGACTGCCTTTTTTCTTTTAAAATCATCATTCGTACCGCT